GCTGACTTCGGCTCATTGGAAACTTACCTGGTGCCTCAAGGGTACGCTCGCATCTTTTGCCTCGACAGACAAGCCTAGCGATAACAAGAGGGACGAGGGATACCATTGCCGCCATTGCCAACCTATTCTCTAGGGTGCCATTGTTCTGAGAAGCCCTTCGAACCGATAAACCATCCGAGAACGGATTCGAAACCAAAAACTTTTCACTGCTTTGGCAGAAAACGCTTGCAATTCTGCGAAATACCGTCAATTAACGTTACAATGTCAGTGAATCAATAACAGAGCGTTTATTATTAAAAGTTCCAAAAACTCGACACTGCATTTTTAACATGCATCACCGCGTCCGTAAAATTCCAACGCCGGAATTTAAGCTGGATCCTTCATACGCTACAAAATGAATGAACGTTTCAATATGGAAATATACAGAGTTAAGTAATGAAACGCAGTTCTATGCAGCGAAATATGTTGCCCTCTGCGCGTCGCTTTCCATACTCTTCGAGCGCTTCTACTCGACGACAAACTAAATTAAAACATTTCCGTTGTTGCTTCCAATGGAGATGAAAAGACAAACACAAACGCCAACGGTCCGCTGTGAAAACGAAATAAAATAAAATGGCTGTTATTTGACTCTAAAGGCTGAAGCCTCAGTGTCGGTACTCCTGTTCCGATTTTTATTGCTTATACACCCGTACCCATAATGATAAATGAATACACGTGTGAGATGTCTCTCTTTGTTTACGATGTTTTAATTTTCCGGATGTCAACTCCTCCTCTTCCATTTTATTCTTGAATTTCAACTGCATAAGCGCGAATTAAATTTTTATTTGCAGAGCAATATACATATAGCGTAGTCTATACTGGACTTAAAAATTCCGTATAACGTTTATATAAGTTAGAAAATATTATATTATATATATACAATATATAATTTCAGTTTACTCCAGTTAATTTGATAAACAACATGACTATTTATTTATCAAGAGTATGTTTCTTGATAGATAATAGGAAGTTAAAGTAAGAATATTAAAACATCTCTGTCGTTTTTATACTATTATTGATTAATATTATACACTAAAAGTGTGGTAATTAGAATTTACTTATCGGAATAAATGTCCTTTTTATAATTCTAAGCTAGTTAATTTATAGATAATTTTAACAAAACCACTCTTTCCGTGTAACATTGTTAAATCAGATTTAATTTTTATATGAAATTTCTTTTCTCTCTCGTGATAAACAGAAGGATAACAAAAAAAATTAATTAACAATATTGCATTTAAGTGCTTCACGTACACACTACAAGCGTTTTTCCACTTCGATTTCCGTTCGATTAGAGACGAGAACAATCTCATCAGTGTCACTCGTCGATTCGAACAGGGCTATTCCGAGCTCGATCCATGTGGCATTGCTCACGGTGTTTCAGAAGAATGAACCACGAAAAAAGAAGGAATCCCAACAGCCATGTGTGCAAAATATCTACTAGAAAAGAACGATTACTCTAACAGAGAAAATACGAAACGAAAGTAAAGAAAGAAAAAGACACGAGAGAACATCGAAACGATGCACGAACGAGACATGCATGTCGCGTGGTCGTGAACGACCACAATCACCAGTGGACAACGGCAATGGTAAATTGTTTTAGCCAACCTAGAGGGCGACAGACCATTAAATATTGAGCTGAATACAATTAAAATAGTGGAAAGAGCCATTTCGCTCTCAGTTCGTTCATCATTAGCTTAATACGATTTTTAATTTTTATATCGTAATTTTTCGAAAAATGTTGCGTTTGATTTGCAAGGGAATAGATTGTTTAACGATTTATTATAATAAATTTAATACGCTATATGTAGCGATGCGTTCAACTATTTATATATGTATAATATTATAATCATAGACGTAATAAATAAAGACTGTGCTTTCCTTAATTTTAACATTTGTGAATACAGCCATTAAACCGATTTAAGAAGGGAGGGAAAACAAGTAAATTCCAAATATTAATTTGGAATTTTTAATAAAATATTGGTAGAATTCCAAATATTAACAGGAATAACGCAATTTTTGACCTAAAATAGCCGCCATCTTTGATCTAATCGAGATTACAAACAAATCACACAGATTAAAGAGTCACTGAGTATTTATTCTAAAAACAGACCAATTAGATCCAAAATGACCGCAAAAAAGAGAAGATAGCCAATAGAAAAACGTGGTTGTCAGCATTCAAATAAAAATATTACGCTAGTCTTGTTAATATCTAATCAAGTTACTTTATTCTTTCTAAACCAATGACATCTTCATAAAATTGCGCACAGTCTACATCTATATTATGTCTATATTAATACTATTAATAAATGCTTTTTAGACGAAGTCAAAAAATGCGTGATTAACATTATTATTAGCCACTTGCCACATTGTTGTCTTATAATATATTTTTGAATTGTTCTTCTCTTATTGTTGGTAGTTTTAATTATTACAGACAATATTATGGTGGAGCATATAAAATTAGCACCACAACTTTAGTTCTCGAGAGAAAGTTCTACCTTCCTTTTGAAACTATATCATAGTGAACCGAGCAGAGGATTCAATAATTTTAGTGGACATACTATATCCATCTTGATTCATTCTTAATGTCATTTTGCCGGAGAGAAATAGGAAATCCAATTTCATCCTTAACCCCGTTAGTCCAAGGCAGCGTTTGCATCGGTTTTAATAGAAGCGGGGGCTATCGCAAACGCGGTTTGCATTGCGCCTTTCGCGACGACATAGCTCGAGGATAAACCGAGCGCGAATGTAAACCTGGACTAGATTCGTTTGAAGTCCGCGATTACTAGCGTGGCGAATTAACGTTAACGTCCAATCCGCCGAAGAGACCCGCCGGCGCTTTCGCCGTCACATTTACGTTCGCGTCCGTGGTCGACTGACAAGAAACACTACGAATGAAATGACGAATAACGAGATTAAACTCTCTGCCGTAAAGGCGGTGGCGATAGCTTTGTATTGTAAGGACAATACGAATATCAGCAGTAACAGAATATAACAGACGTGTAAAATGGATAGTGCGCTTTTTCCGACGTCTCGAAAACTGATCCTCTTCTGCATTTGATTCGTATAATTTTATATCGTCATGCACTTGTTTCATAATATGCTGCAGCTGTTTTGCTGATGTTAGCGCAATAGAGTGACCTCTATACTACCTTTTCTCGTTGAAATAAAAAATACTATATACTATTATTAAAAACAGAGTTAAATTTAATACTCTGACCGTCAAACTGATTTTGTGCTCATTGAACGTATTCTCATTCCATCATCCCACATTGCTGATAACAAAAATGGGACATCATTTGTTCATGTTCGAGATTTGAAATATATAGATGATACAATCTGTTAATAGTATATTTTCTCAAATCTTACGCATTTATACATTATTTAATAAAATATTATAAATATTTCTCTAATCGTATTCTATTAATATTCTTACTATACAATTTTGATTGTAAAATAAAACATCAATTTTTTTAGGAAATTATTGCGCAAAATTTCGAAAAATTCCAACATCTATGTAAAATGATAGATAAAAGTCGCAAAGAAAAACTACCAATCGCCTAACAAATAGATTTCGACATTACTATAATAACTTAAACTTAAACAATATAACCTTCCGCATTTCTCTAATTGGATATGACGCAAATACAAAACGAGATAAATTGTTTTGCTTCTTGTAAACATCATAATCATAAATTTGTGCATTGTGACTCATGATAGTCGTGACATGATATCTCGAACATTTTATTAAATATTTTATTTTATAATATTAAATATTTAATATTTATATAATATTAAATATTAAATATTTTATTTTATTATTTATAAAACAACATTCTCTTTAAATATTGCTTAATCACTGCGTTCTTATTTTATAATCGTAAAATAAAAAAAACAAAGAAAACAAAAGATAAATTAACTATAAATGCGGCATTTTTTGTTCCTGGAAATTCCATTGATAAGATAACATTACGCTCATTATGCACCTGCAACAAATTAAAACCAAAAGAGTCTCATATGATTCATCAAGCGATAAAAGAATTTTTATATAATTTTTTTTAGAATTAATCTTGTATTCTCTTGTCAGTTATATTAAAGTATTTAATAATGTATTGTGATAAAAGTAATCTTATTAATATAATGGTTAAGAAATTCATAACGTTATAAGCAACTTATACAATTTACTATCATATGATTATATCAAATTCGGTACGTTATTAATAATCAGTTTATCAAAATATTAATTTTCAAGTGATTATTCTTTTTTGAAATTTGATGTAACAATTAATATTTTTAATGATTTTACTAAATAATACTTAAAAAATCGAATATGCATTTTAGATATTGTGAAAGTTTAATATACATAATAAAATGTTGTAGAACTAAATATATATATAATAAATACTTCCGTGAATGTTCAAAATGTAATCATAACGTGTATTATAAAAAAATATTTAATCCTTTTAAATAATTGTAGAAATAACATTTAAATGGAATTAAAATTTAATTAATAAAAAGTATATATCATATATATAAATATGAGTTCACAATTTACAATAGTTTTTATAATAAATAGTAAAAAATGCAATAGAGATCAAAATTATTAATGGTAATATCTTTATGTGACTTACTGTTTTATGTTTACTGCGTACTTACGTGTAACAAATATGTTATCCTCAATTCCTTACAGACTCATTGATAGATAACGTGCGAATTACACATATTACAGCCATTATTATCGATAACACTCACATAATGTTAAACATTGCCGTTTCCTACTACCGAATGTCATAATATATAATAAAAGTTTTTGGAAAAATACACATATGTATACATACAAACAGTAGTTTCTATATAAACCTGTAGCGAATATTATCTAATATTGCACAAACTATTATTGCCACGTTCACTATACCAGTGAAACTCCGTCATTTTATTACGTATATCAGTGACCGTTCGTTACAATGAAAATAACTTATACAGTAATAATTGTATTACTTATAACGATTTTAAATATAAGCTTTGGTCAGAAAATAAGTTATACCTCGTCATTCAAATTTATTGAATGGGACATTCCGAATCCTAGCGATTATGGTCTTAACAACACTGTAATAACTGACGTAGATGAAGCAGCAGGTAAACTAATGTTAATTAAAGAAATAACAATAACCTTAATCGAAAAAATAACAGTAATATATAATAAATAACTAATATATAGAAACTCTCTCTCTCTCTCTCTCTCTCTCTTATTTAATGTGGTATTTTACGGTGTCGATGCAATATATATTATTTTTGCAATACAATTACGATATCTTGACAACTAAACCATATTTTGAATGCTCACGATCTTTGTAGTCATTTTCTTATAGATGGTAGACTATTCCTTGCTGCATTAAGAAATGAAGGAGTGCCAGCTAGTCTAGCAACAGTAAGGACCAAGGGTAATTTAATTAGTAAAAAAAGCTCAGGAGGTTCATTGGCTCCGTATCCAAGTTTGTCTTGGTATAATAACACTACTGATTGCGATAACAATATCATAAATGTAATACGAATATCTGTGAGTATCAATTCTTTTTTCAAAGCGATATGTAGTAATATAATATACCAATAATTTATATTAATAATATATACCGTACATATCTATTTCTGCGTTAGATCAAATGCAATCATCTCTTTCTTGTGGACTTTGGAATAAAAGATGGATTTGAAGGAGAGAGAGTTTGTCCTTCGAAATTATTGGTATTCGATTTAGAAAACGATAGGCTCGTTCGTCGTGTTATCATTCCATCTAACGTTGTTGATAATAAAAATGGCAGTGGATTGCTCGTGACATCAATTGTCGATATTCAAGATTGCAGCTGCATAAATAATTCAATCGTTAGTAATATTTTCTCAGACTTTACGCGTTTATTTAATCATTACAATATATATGTTCATTGTTCTATAACCATGCAAATGTAGACTATCCTATTTGAATTTACCCAGACAAATATCTCGACAAACATTGAAGATATGGAAAAAAATTTCACATAAAAGTGGAATGATTTCGAGGAAGGTATTTAAGTTATGTTGTTTTTTTCTACATAGATAAAGGTGCTAAAAATACAAAGATTTTTTAAGATATATGCCTGAGTGAATTAAAATAAAACATTGTAAATATTATTTAATTAATATATAAGATATATAAGATCCTGTGATTCAAGTCCAGATACGACTATAATATGTATATTAATAATAATAATATAAAATATTATATCAACATATTAATAGAGAAATGTATGTATATACAGATATATATGGCTGACGTTGCAAACTACGGTTTAGTGATATACAATGGATATTCGAATGACTTCTGCAGAATTGAATCCGATTGTATGAAACCAACTCATTCCAATTTTACTATAAACAACGAAAGTGTTTATTTGGAAGATGGTATTCTTGGTTTAACAATCATTTCTGGAGGCAAGTACTCAGTTTTTAACACAAAAATTATTTTAAATATTACGTAAGCTTATTACATCACATCAGTAAGTGTTACAGAACTTAAACCCAATTCTAACAATATTTATATCAAAATACGTTCGTTTCCTTATTTTTCAACATCAATAATTATGCATAATCATACTTTATAACAAACAAAAATATAGAAGGATTTTCTATAAATAATCGATAGCATTCACTAATCTTTATGATTATTGATATACATACTTATAAGTTGTAAATGTTTCAGATTTGTATTTTAGTGCTTTAGCGGGAAATAAAATATGCAAGATAGATAAGAGTACTTTAAAAAAATGTTCAAAATTAAGCAATAACGATGCTAATTTAGCCACTAAAGTGGTAGGAACATTATCTGGTCAAACGGGACCAATAGCATCCTACAGAAATGCAATATTTTTTAGCAACATCCCGGAAACGTCCATTCTTTGTGCCGATACTACTAAAAAATTCGATCCTTCCAACAGTGTAAGATATATAAATTTAATTATTTTCTATATTTTGGTTGATAATGTACTATAGCTACTCGCACGCTATTAGTGTAGTTAACGTCTATTGATAATAGCTATATTGACTCAACATTAATTGATGTAAAATGAAACATTATTTCAGGAGGTCATTGTGCAAGATCCTGAAAACTTGCAATTTATAAGTGGGCTAAAATTTATAAGCCATAAAGGAGAGAAACATGGAAGGCATTTTCTGGAAGAAAAAATACTAGGCGTATCAAACAGGTTTCAACATTACTTTAATAATAATTACAACTTCAGCGAAATAAACTTTCGCGTTTTCGAAGTGGATATAAAAGAAATAAAGAAACATACACATTGTTTGAATTCTAATCACCATAGTCATAAACCTGGACACTATTACTTCTCTTAGAATTTAATATTTTATCTTCACTAGAAAATAAAATAATTAAAAAAAATGTTTGTTTAAGATGCACATATGTAAAAAATTGTGAAAAAATTATAATGTATGTACATTAGTAATGTACATTATCATTAATATACAGTATGTAATCAATTTATTATTAATAACAAAATAATTGTATAAAAACACTATTTTTATTTAAATAGTGCTCAGCCACTCTTCTCTTATTTCACAATTATGAAACAAAAAAGCAAAAAAAATAATATAAAAATTTTTTTAAATTTAATTAATAAAATGGTATCCTGTGTATTATGCATCTGTAACAAAGTAAAATAAAATAAACCCCATTAAATGTTTTATTCAAAAAGAATAAAAAAAGTATTTTTATCTACATAATTTTTCTTAGAATTAATTACTTATATTTTTGTCAATCATATAATAGTAATTAATTTTTGATACAATACATTATTAATAACTTTAATATGATTGATAAAAATACAAATGATTAATACTAAAAAAAATTATGTAAAAAATGTGCTCTTTCCTGATGAAATATTTGTTGGTATTTATTTTATTCTATTTCGTTACAGGTGCATAATGCGCAGAAAGTTTTATTAATTAAATGTTTAGGAAGAAAAAATACTATATTTCCTATATCATTAATATCTTTTTCATTTTTTGTTTTATAATTGTGAAATAAACGAACAGTAGTAGTGGTGAGCACTATTTAAGTAAAGATAATGTTTTACTGTAATAATTAATAAAGAATATATAAATCAAACACAATTTACAATAGTCTTTTATAATAAATAATAAAGAATGATAACAGATATCAATCAATTTAATGGTGATGGCTTTATGTAACTTACTTTAAAATTTAATAATAAAGTATATATATTTCTTTAAAAGTATTTTTGCGTATTTTTATGTAACAAATACGTTATCCTCTATTCTTCACAACTCATTGATAGATAACCTGTATCATATACATTTCTTAAAAAGTATTTCTGCGTATTTTTATGTAACAATAATACGTTATCCTCTATTTTTCACGACGAATTGATAGATAACGCATATTATATACATTTGAAACCATTAACATTATCGATAATTTTTCGCACATAAATTTAAGCATTATCATTTTTTACTATCAATTGTTACATTATATAATAGAAGTTCTTGGAAAAATATCTTTTATGCATACAAAAATTCACAATAGTTTCTATATAATTCTGCAATGAATGTTGTCTAACATTGCACAAATTTATTATTGTCGCATTCACTTTTGTGATATATGTTATTATCGCTGAATTTAATCATTTTATTAAGTATATTAGTGGGCGTTGGTTACAGTGAAAATGACGCATTCATTAGTAATTATATTACTTGTAACGATTGCAAATATAAGTTTCGGTGTTGAACTAGAAGATCGATACGAATGGAAATATATTGATTATGTGTGGAATAATTCGCAAAGACAAGAAGCGATAAAGTCTGGCAATTATAATCCTAGCAATAATATTTTATTTGACGTAGATGAGGCACCAGGTAGGCTCATCGAAGAAATGTGTGTGACAATAATTTTAATTTAAAAAATAATAGTAATGAATATGTAATAAATAACTTTATATGTGTATGGAAGCTTAATTAATATAGTATTTCATGTTGTCGATGCAATAAAAATTATTTCTGCAATACAATTTGCAATAGAATTTTGATATTTTCACGATAAAGATATATTTTGAATGTACAAGATCTTTGAAGTCAATTTATTATAGATGGTAGAGTATTCGTTACTATCGTAAGAAATGAAGGAGTGCCAACTAGTGTAGCAACAGTAAGTGATGAAACAGGACCGGGAGGTCCACTTTTGTCTCCATATCCAAATTGGTCATGGTATAATGACACTACTAATTGCAATAACATTATAAATGTATTACGGATATTTGTGAGTATCAGTTCTTTTTTTAAAGCGATATATAGTAATAATATTCCAATAATATTTATATTAATATATACCGTGCATATCTATTTCTGCGTTAGATCAAATGCAATCATCTCTTCCTTGTGGACTTTGGAATAAAAGATGGATTTGAAGGAGAGAGAGTTTGTCCTCCGAAATTATTGGTATTCGATTTAGAAAACGATAGGCTCGTTCATCATGTTATCATTCCATCTAATATTGCTGATAATAAAAATGGCAGAGGATTGCTTGCGACAACACTTGCTTATGTTCGAGATTGTGGGCGCATAGATAAAGCAACCGTTAGTATTTTCTCAAATTTTACGCATGTAATTAATCATAACGTACATGTTTTATATAAATAATGCAAATATGCAGGGGGGAAATGTCCTATTTTAATTTATTCAGATAAATGTCTCAAAAATATTACGAAATACAAAAAATACGAAAAAATATTTCAGATAAAAGTAGAATAATTTTAAGAAGGACGTATTTTGTTAATTGTTTATTTTTTAGATAGGGGCACCGAAACAGTATAAATGTCACCTCCATATTTTAAATAGATTTATACGATTTTTTTTACATATGATATTCCTCTAATTGTTTTGTATTAAAAAATTATTTTTGCTACTCATTTTTTTAAAAACAGCATATGTTTTTTTAACCAACTAATCCTACTTATTACTTTATTTATAAAAGCATTAAAATAAAATTATTAAAAAATTAATAGTTTATCAGATACTTAATATATGTATGTATATATAAATACGTGGCACAGAATAAAATATGAAAAATTTCATAAACTATTAGTTTTTGGATACTTCTATCTTAATGCTTTTATGCATTACAATTCAAAGTCATATTATGCAAAAAATATCATGTAAAAATTTCCTTTAAAAATGAAGGTTTATATTTTTTGGCAGCTCCACCTAAAAAAGACCTTACCAAAATACGTCCCTCTTATTTTTAAAAGTTTTTCTATACTACTCATATTTTTCGAAATAGTTACCTCAGTAAATTACAATAGGACACTCTATATTGTTTTTAATTAATATATATAATTTCTTGCGATGTATGTCAAGATACAATTAATAATAATATAAAATATTACATCACATACTAATATAAATATATATATATATATATATATATATATACACAGGTGTATATAGCTGACATTACAGGTTATGGTTTAGTAATATACAATAGATACTTAGGCTTCTGCAGAATTGAATCTGATTTCATGAAACCAACTCATCCCAATTTTACTATAGAAAACGAAAGTTTTTATTTTGAAGACGGTATTATTGGTTTAGCAACAATTAATAAAAGCAAGTACTGAAGTTTTTTAACACAAAAATTATTTTAATTATTATAAGTTTATTACATCACACATAAGTAAGTGTTACAGAATTTAAACCCAATTTTAACAATATTTATATCATAATACTTATATCATAATATTAGCCTTAATAATTATGTATATTCGTGCTTTAATAACAAACAAAATGTATAAAGCATAGAAAGCATTTCTGTAAATAATCAATAGCATTCACTAATCTTTACGTTTATTAATATATTCATTATAAATGTTTTAGATTTGTTTTATGCTCCTTTAGCGGGAAACAGAATATTTAAAATGGATAAGCATACTCTAAAAAAATGTTCAAATCTAAGCAATAGTGAAGCTAATAGATTAACTAAAGTGGCGGGTACATTATCTGGTCAAACGGGACCAATAGCATCCTACAGTAATGTAATATTTTTTAGCAACATCCCGGAAACGTCCATTCTTTGTGCCGATACTACTAAGAAATTCGATCCTTCCAACAGTGTAAGAAATATTTGAATATAATTATTTTCTGTATATTCATAATAAATTAATGTAAATATTCTACTCATACTCTATTAACATATTTACATCTAATGATAGATAACAATTACTGAAACAATTTTAATTGTTATAAAATAAAATATCACTTTTTAGGTGGTCATTGTACAAAATTCCGAAAAATTGCAATTTCCGAGTGGACTAAAAGTTGTAAAGCATATAGAAGGAAAAGTTAGAAAGCGCAAGGAAGGAAAAGTACTAATCGCAACAAACAGACTTCAGCGTGTCGTTAATAACAATTTAAATCTGAACGAGACAAATTTCCGTATTCTCGAGTTGGATATCATGAAAATAAAGAAAGAGACAAAATGTTGTAATTCCAATCATCATGGATATAATCCTGGATACCGTAATACCCTGTCCTCTTAGAATTTATATATGGAACATTATATTTTTACTATTATAGAAAATAAAATAATCTGAAAAAGATTTTCATTTAAAGTGTAACATATATGTATATAAAAACGAATATTATACAATTAATTATGCATAATATGAAATAATTAATACATTATTAACGGCAGAATAATTGCTAAAGCAATATTTTTATTTAAACAAGCTACTATCCCCTTATTTAACAATTATGAGAAGGAAAGAATTAATTACATAAAAAATACGCGCACCATTAACTTTGGCATATATATAAAAAAATAATAAATATAACTAGTTATGCACAATTTCCAAATTAATATATTATTTTAAAACAATTGTAAAACAAAAAACAAAGAAAATAAAACATATTTATAAAATATTATTTATAAAAGATAAGAAGTAAAATATATTTTTTGATACATAAAATATATTTTACTTTTTATCTTTTCTTATTTTAGTCTTTATCAAAATTTATTTTAATATAAATATTTTTTTAATATAAAACACTTGTACGTTATATTGGAATCCTTAATAAATGTAGATAAGTAATATTTAATAAAAAGAACAGGAGAGAAGATATTATATTCACAAACTTATAAATTATTTTAGTTTTAAAATCAATTAAGTAAATATTATAATAAAAATCTTGTTATTGAAAGTGTCACAATAATACCTACTATGGATATGTTTATCGCCCGTACACAACCAATAGGAAATAATGCCTTTAATGATCTAACTAGACCTTAAGTGCTTGTATTAATAGTGAAATAAAAATAAAATTAAAAAATTGTATGAAAACGTGATATTACTTCTAAGTTAATACCAAACATTTCTCTCTCGTAAGTTCAACATTTTCTGCTATACTTAATGGAATCGAATAAGCCATACGAAGATTTTACTGTTTGCATAGATACACGATGCAACGTCGAGGCATGCTGCCACCGTTGACATAAATCCAGATTCGTATGTTGCCACGCTGTAAATCCTCCAAGTGTGTATGCACTGTGCGCAGATCACGTAACATGTCTGCCGTTTGCTAAGTGATAATTTCGAGTATTCGAAAATTAGTCCTCGTTATTTCGAGTAAATGATATTTACATACTAACTTTGATGTGTCAAATTAAGATATTTATACATAATAATAAAAAATATTATTAAAATATTATTAAAAAATATTTAATTTTTAGATTAGATACATTATACATAGAATATATAATATTAATTTAAAAAATATATGTATTATCTTAAAAATCATTTGGTAAAATATTATTTTCCCGATGAAAAATCGACATTACAATGATCAAAAATCCTACAGCTGAAGGAAGTTTCTAAATAGATTATATTAGTATCAGATTGTCCGTTTACTAGAGAGAGGAAGAGAAAGGGAGGGAGAGAACTAAATCCTATTTTCGGAAGTTAAGCTCGCAACACTTTGCGGCCTCATCCGATAAACTCATCCGTGTTTCAGGATTTGGAATTCTTCTGCCGAAAATACGTTTTGAGAAGGTAAGAAAGAGCGAACGAAACTGCTAGAGTAGTAGTGAGTAAGTTTCTGACAACTTAGTGAAACAATAGCGCGGTTTCTATAGTAGAAACGGAAATCGTTCCCGCTTTCCTGCTCTGACCGCTACAGTTCACGTCGTTTGTGAGTGGTTCGTCAGAGGAGGGATAATTTAGATAACAGACCACGTTTCCCACGCGATCTTCTCGGATAATTAATCAAAAAATGTTCAACCGGAAAGCACGCACACTCGTGAAATCAGATGACGAATTCGAAACCGTCCGTGGATAGAAGCCGAAATACGGTCTAATTTAAAGAATTGCATACAGTTATATCAGTTTTTCATCTCGTAACATTTTGATTAATTATAAGACTAATAATTTTTCCGAATATAAATTTTCTATATGTTTGTGCGAAACCGAACGTGGTCATTAATAACGTAATAAAAATAACTTCAATATAAAAGTATAATCGTAGATGATTTATTTTGATGCAGGAGTGTTCCAAAAGTTCATGACAAAGAAGTTGGCAAACGAAAATTTGTCAAGCGGTATATTAATCGTATTATAATATTATCAGAATTTCATTTGTATATAAATATTGGCTTTTATATAGAAATTCTTTCTACAAAACTTGATTAGTAAATAGATAGTGTAAAAAAATATTAAAATTTTATTGATTCAAAAAATATTGAGATTAAAAAGTTTTAGTTTAATTATTAATATGATTATATTTGCGTTGCATTTAGCAACAAAAGTAATGAATGTTGGAAGTAATTTATTCAAATGTACGCGTTTATTATCAAATAATTATATAATATTGACTTTAGTAAGTATATAAATGAGCCGTATATAAATATATAAATAAGTATATAAATGAAAAATACGATCACTCGAAATAAATCAAATAAATAGTCCTTCCTAATGTTGATTCCTTCAACCTCAGAAAGAATTGGCTAAAGAAGAACTTAAAGAGAGAGATCTGACTGTGAGTATTCGTAGTTCGAAATGCAGGGACGTGAAAGCATTTTGCCAATACGGCAAAACGAAATCGAAAGCAAAGCAAGTATTTTGTTACCGTTGAAACGAAATAACGAAACCAATCGAAGTGCATGGGAAAATCATTAGTCCTGCTGGAGACGTTCAACCGAGCAAGTTTTGTAGTCCTCGCAGGTCTGCGCTGTTTCTTTCTGAGTTTCAATCCGCGACGACGCGAATTCAGGTCGATGAAAGACGAAGGAAAGCAGTTCGGGCACTCGATTTTCCGGACTGTCGGAGAACTTCGTTAGTCTTGGCTGGAAAACCCCGAAAGAGGGTCGTTACCTTATCGCGACGTATAAAATATTTTCGTCTGTGGCAGTCAGAACGTACTCGCTCCGGAAGCAAGCGCTGTCTTCTGAAGTTTTATGTGCGAGAGGATGGGGCAAATCATAGATATAATATTCCACGTGCCCGTTGAGATCTCATCTAATATGTATGATCGTTTGGTGACGTTACTACATATTGATTTTATCATTGATACAATTATAATAAAATGTAAAACCGTATAGTATTTTTTAAGAGTAAATTTTACAATATTAAAGAAGTATATAACTTGGTGTAGTTTTACAACTACATTTTCTAGATAAACGTTTTCTCTCGTACAAATCTTTACATTGTCTTTAAAGTTTATTTCTTTTGTGCAAAATTGTGTCTAAAGCGGGGAGCACAGACTTTTGCATAACGCATAAACCATATACATAAAGAATTTGATTGGTCCATTGACTCATGCATAAGAAAATGGACCAATGAAATTCCTTATGCACATGCTTTATGCGTTATGCAAAAGTCTGTGCTCCCCGCTTAAGACAATTTCTTTTCTTTTGACGTTGTACAGGGGACAGAAACATTAGGAGCAAAAATAAAAAGTGTCAGTCCAATTAGAGAACAAATATCACATTTCAATCGTAACCAATTGATCGTTCTAGAAAACGAACATACGAGCGAACACAATACTACAATATATCCGATCCGCATACGACACAACAAGTATTGCATCCCGTGTCGGACATGTTTCGCCAGTGAATTTATGCTCCATTCTCCTATTTCTCTTGGCTGTTTAATACGCCACTCTTGGTTGCCATTGTTGCAATCAGCATGATACCTCGCCTTCGCGTCCACTCGCTTGGAAGAGAAATTATTTTGAGAGTTTATGTAATCATCACATTAATAACTATGCATTATCAACATTAATATAAGGAAAGACTATTTCTGAAATGCTTCCATTATTCATACAAAATATATATTACTTTTTTCACTTTAAAAGCTACACAGAGTCTGAGATTTTCAACGTACTTGTATTCATTAATATTAAAGAGAATTTGATTAAAAACAGATGAAAAATATATTATTTTTGTTTAAAATTTTATAAATATGATAGATAGATTGGTAAAAATATTAACAAAAATGTTTTTAATAATTACTCAATACTATAATTATATAATATATATATATGTATATATAAATATACTAATATTTAATAATCAATATATAAAACCTATGTAATATACATTGGTATCAAGTAAATGGAGTCAATGTGTTGGTTATAATTTAACAATATACAATACTAATTTGATTTCGAACGATTACGAACAATTTAATACTAATATTTATTCCAAACGACAAAATTATGCTTGACATTTTATGTAAGTAGTTTAAACAATAGTGTAAATATTCTTCAAAAATGTTTTCGTAATAGAAAAAAGCACAAAGAAAATTAAACAAAAGGAACAAGTATCTATAGTTCTTTTTCCAATAAAATATGCCGTTGGTATAATAAAAAAATTAACATAATGGATAAAGTTTGTGCGTGTAAGTATATATATCGCTGAATTTTTAACATAAATTAAAAACAATGTTGAGCATGATAAATTAGATCGTAAATAAAAAAAAATTGCCCTAATTTTGAGACTCGACACTGTTACGATAACTTTCTCGTAGCATAAAGAACATAGTTAAAAAAACTCATTAAGATTGTCTCGTGACGTGCAAAGTGAAATTGATATTTTTTACTTTAATTATACGTCTCACAAGGGATATCATAAAACGACTAATAAACTCTAATTGGAACGAGTTTCTCCGTTCTGTCGTCTAAGACGTCTGTCTTCGTTCTGTCTAAGACTTCATTTCGTCCTGACATGATCTGAGCATTTTATGCGCATAGCTTGAAAACGGGAGAGGTGCGCGCGTTAAATAAAATCTAGTACAATTTAAAATTTAATAAGTGAGTCAAGTTTCTAGAATGGAATTTTAGGGAGTAATATCGCGAAAACTGTTGATTGAAATGGCGCGCTTTTCTCCGACGTCACTGGTAAAAGGTCTGATGTGACTTCCATATCTTGAGCGAGAAAAAGTGCAATGGAAAAAAAAAGGAATTCACCGTCTCACGGCATCTTCGAAAGCAAGGCGAGAGTTTCACGTGAAGCATCTCTTTGCCATGTCATTTCTTTGTGAGGAGT